CACGCTGCTATGATAAGGGAAAGGCAAGGAGCATTTGTTAAATAACCTTGGCGACTTTTTTTGTTATCCTCCCCAAAAACATTTAAGATACTTTATGTTCAATTTAACGATCGACATATACTTTCTCGTCACCTGAATGGGAAAAATTCAATTACGATTCCGAGCTCTGGAGTATAATAGCGATGCATGCTTGACCGGTTTTGACGATCAAGAGACAAAGTCATCGACATTGGCACACAAGATTCTACAAAATTTGCGTTGGTATAAAAATCGGAGACCAAATCAACGTCTTCAAATTGACGAAGACAGCCGACTCTTTATACTCGTTGATCTTTGATGTGAAATGCCGGCAAACCGGGGCTTTGTTGGTCTTTTTATAAAATTGACAAAATTTGAATAAAGCCGGGCACCTGTTTCTAAGGGACGGCTCTTCATTTTCACTCTTCAAACATGCTTAGAAAAATAACTTTACTCTACAATTTATGGACTACTGGTTGGAGGGACGGGCGGACTGTTGCAACAGACCTAATAGCAACCCACTCGGAAGGCTCTCTTTTCGATAGTCATTTAAAAAATAAAGTGATTTCATTCTCGCTTTAATTTTATTGAGACGGAAGAGGACTAGGCCAGTTTTTTCCCCTTTTTTGTTATTTTGAATGAGTGGTCGAAGCTTCTTTCGTCAATATTTACCACATGGGATGGGGAAGGGAGGGGGGGGGGGGTTGGTGGAAGAAAAATAGGGGATCGCATGGTTTTCAAGGGGAACAGACCGGGGAATGGACCATGTCATGGCTTCCCTAAAAGATTATTGCAAAAAAAAAAAGGATTCAAAACTTTCTCTGTTTCAGATTATGGTATTAGTAGCCATTCGAGGGCAAGAATCGGTTTCCTTGGTGACGATTATGCAAACTGTCGGGCGTCTGATTCAAAAATTGGCTTTGGCACAGTAGGTAGTCAACATCCATATTATTATTCGTGAGGAAATTTTGCATATCATGGTGGAAACAACAGAAACAAACTTGTCGAAGTGATGGGGTACATTCTTGTTCCATAACAGAAAGAGCTCTTTCACAAAACAGTCTTCATGACATTCGCCTTAATTTTTAAATGTGAATTAAAACGCCTGAAAAGGAGCACTTGAACTACATACGGTCTAATTCAGTATTTAATAGCAAATGTTTAGTTTATAGAAAATAGTAAACTATACGAAATTAAGGTGATCAAAATAATTATTTCCTGACGCAAGCCTCGAGATCTCTGGACAACACAAAGCTGGAGGTGGCTTGTGCACCTACGCCAAGTCAAACCTCAAGATTGCTGTGCTTGAGAATTTATCATCTGCCTGCGACGATGGCTTTCAACAACTTTGGCTAAGAGTTCAATGCAGAAAGTACAAATCGTTTTTGATCTACAACACATATCGACCTCCACAAACACCAAGCACGTGCTTTGAATCTCTTGCAAATAGCCTCACAGATGTATTACTCCTAGACTTAAATGTTGTCATTCTTGGTGACCTAAATTGCAATATTTTAGCTCCTGACCCTGAGACTACCTCACTGCAGACCTTTATTTCAACATTTAATTTACAACAACTGGTTAAGAAACCCACAAGGATTACAGAAACCACAAAATCTTTAATCGACGTAATTTTGACGACAAATACAGATATTGTCAGCCTCAGTGACGTACTTACCTGCTCAGTAAGTGATCACCACCTTGTTTACCTTGTATTAACGTTGAAGACCCCTCGACTCGAGCCCTCCTATGTTACCATCAGGAGTTACGCTAATTACAATGCAAAACAATTCAGTGAGGATCTGTCACTTGTACCTTTTCATATAATATCTATGTTTGACGATTTTGATGACCAAGTGGAGACGTTCAATGCGTTATTTACCGATATTTTAGATGATCAAGCCCCTTTAAAGCGAGTAAAAATCACGTCAAGACCCAACCCATTTATTTCAGCTGAAATTCGCTAACTGATGAAGAACCGGGACCAATGGCATCGGTGAGCCATTAAATCAAATGACCGTCTTCAATGGAACGCATATCGTTTCTTCAGACAGGAAGTCAAACGTGAACTACGAATTGCAGAAAAAGCTTATGTGAGATCTCAGCTATTACAAAACAAAGGAAATACTATTGCAATTTGGAAGATAATTAACAACTGCCTGCCAAAGAAGTCCAAAAGCCGCCCTATTATTCCTGACAACCCAATTTTCTTGGCAAATGGATTTAATGAATATTTAACATCTGTTGGAAGTTCAGCAGCTCAGGAAGCTTATGATCTTGCTTGTGTACATAATTATCATATTAATCCAGCAATGCCAACCCTTTTGCGAACGTCTGATGACTGCCCTGACTTATTTCGATTTCACCCCGTACTGGAGAAGGATGTTGAAGGTGTAATTACGGGCTTTTCTTCCAACAAAGCACAAGGTCGTAATAAGATTACTACCCGCGTCCTCAAGGACTGTTTGAAAGTCATAGTACCAACTATTACAAGCATTATGAATAACTCATTTAGATCTAATTGTTTCCCAAAGTATGGAAAATGGCTGAAGTTACTCCTGTGTTAAAGTCTGGCAACCCCGAAGATCCCTGTAATCTCCGGCCCCTCTCATTACTGCCAATGCTATCTAAGGTGTCTGAGAGATTAGCTCAGCGTCAGTTCGTTGACTACATAACCACCAACAAGAAGCTATCTGAAAATCAGAGTGGTAATCGAAAATGTCACTCTACGGAAACTGCTCTCTTACACGTCACAGATGATTTTCTCATGGCCATTGATAATAGTGAAGTGTCCGTTGTCGTGCTACTAGACATGTCCAAGGCATTCGATAGTATCAGACATGATCTTCTCCTTCAGAAGTTACAGAGCATAGCTGTTGCCTCTTCGAGCTTAGAGTTGTTTCATAATTACCTGTCTGGTCGTAGCCAGCGAGTGCGCATTGGGGATACTGTCTCAGACCAGCTCCCTCTTAAATATGGAGTTCCTCAGGGTTCTATTTTGGGGCCTGTGTTATTTACCATCTATGTAAATGATCTCTTGTCCGTTCCAACCCACTGCAAGTCTGTGTGCTACGTCGATGACTGTAAACCATACCTATCCTTTCGCTCAATTGACATCGCTCGCGTATTTGGTTATCTGAACGAAGATTTGAGATAAATTTGCTGATGGTGCTGCCAGAATTCCCTTTTAATAAACCCAGCTAAAACTAAAATCTTACTAGATGGTGTTCCTCAACTACTGCGGAAATTGCCTCCAGCGTCAATTTCACTCTTGGGAAAGGAAATAACACCAGTCCCTAGGGCAAAGGACCTTGGAATCTTCATCAACCAGTCCTTAACATATAACGATCATGTTCCTAAAACTACTTCTAACTATATTTTCAAACTAGTACAGATTAGCAGGATTAAACACCTCTTGGACAGGAAAACCCTTTTACTTTTGACGAACGCTTTTGTTTTTAGTACAATGTATTATTGTTCAATTGTAAGGGCCAACACATCTCAAAGAAATATAAAGAAGCTTCAGCTAGTGCAGAACTTTGCTGTCGTATTGTATTAGGTTTTAAGAAATTTTACCACATCTCCCAAGGCATAAAATCTCTTAATTGTCTCACTGTTAAGGAAAGACTTTATTTTAACGATGCTGTAATGGTATTAAATGTGTAAATAATTTAGTTCCTGAATATCTGGCTAACATGATTGTCCCACGATCTTGTATTCATAGTAGGGTAACAAGATCATGTAATCTGCTCCACATCCCAGGATGCCGCCTGTCCTCTGGGCAACGTGCAGTCACGTATCGCGGATGCAAATTGTGGAATAACCTCCCAAATGACTTAAAAGCAGCTGATAATGTAAACGCCTTTAGGCTCCGCCTACTGAATGCGCTCCTTAGTGGAAATGTCACGCACAGATGAATCATTTCAATCTTCTATTCTTGCCTAATTTTTGTTTTAGTTCACTAGCGTTTTTAACGTGTACTGGCCTTTTGTATTTATATTATACTAGCCTTAGTTTTCACTTATATATATTTTTAGGCTAATACAATGTTACTATAATATTACAATAATTTTAATGTAGGCTTTGTAACTGAAAAACCCAGCTTGGAGGTTGCAATAAACGTATGTATGTTTGTATGTATGTATGTACCCATTGCCTTATACTCTGAATAGCCTACACTCCAGTCTAACTTTTACGATGGAGCTTCCCGTTGCTAATAAGATCTCTTTTATCGGCATTGAAAATGTCAAGTTTACCGAAAACCATTACACTCTTACACTTCTACAGTCACACCAGTAAACGCTATAAAGACTCTTTATTAGAGACAATGATACACCGAGCCTATGACCTATCGTCTACCACAAAGGCTTTTAATGCAGAATGTGTCAAATTGCGCTCTATTTTCAGTCGTCTTGACTACCCTATGGGCCTTATTAATTCCGCTATCATTAATTCTTCTTATAGAAATGCTTCGGCAGGCATAGCGGAAAAAAACACCGATAAAAGTAGCACAGTACGAATTAGTCTTCCATTCAAAGATCAAGTGGCCGTAAATGCGGTTCGGAAGCAGTTGCGCGATTTTAGCCGTAAGATTCTCCCTATATTGCAGCCTATTTTTGTGAGCAAGAAATTAGGGCAAGGTCTTAAACCCAACGAAATCAAGCCGTCAATTGTGAATCGGTAATGCACTGTTTATCGTTTCTCATGTTAACCGTGCCCTGCAGGTAATGTCAGGTACACAGCCCGACACCTTCATCCACGCATTGCTGAGCACAAATATTTGGCAATCAGTCGACATTTCGTGGAAGCTCACGGTAGCAATCACCTTTTGAAAGAAAACCAATTTAGAGTTTTAAGAAAGTGCCAGGGAAAATTGGATTTTTTAGCCTTTGAAATGCTGTTCAGCTAGAATCTCAAGCCTAATTTAAATATCCAGATGGACTCCATACGTGCCAATCTTTTTGTTTAATTGCTATTGTTCTTTTCTTACGGTATAGCTTTTTATGACCCATTGTTATTTTGGTATATAGAGACTGCAACTTACAAATATTTTTTTTACTTGATAATGACTTTTAACCAACGTCGAAACGTCGTCGTTTTTTAGCAATCTTGATCGTCTCCGTGAGGGTGGTCCTTATACATAAAAGAAGTTTTTTAGGAGAACCACAGTGTTGACTGAGTCAGACGTCTCGTTTAATCATCCGTGATTTAGTCGAAACGACAACTGCTAGAACCAACTACACTCATAGTATAATAGCTGTTAAGGGAAAACTCCTTACCTATTGGGATATTAATTATTAGGATTGGTAGTACGCAATCAATCGACTGACGAAGACAATCGGGTAGACTGGTTGTTCGCCAGATCGCAAAGTTTTATCATTCTTAGCTAATTTTACAGGGTCTATTTTGTTTGTTTTATATTTTCATTCAGTTCTATTTTCATTTAGTTATAACAAGCTTGCTTATTGTCCTTTTATGAATATCGCAGATATCTGCCATTTTTTTTTGTGAGATCGATTTTCGTGTTCACCTCGCCAGCTCTCCATGAGGATTCGCCATATCGACAGTCACTTTAATAAACATGGTATCGCCCCGAATATAACCACCCTTACGGACCTCTACTTGAGAAACGAATGTGGGAGAGCCCGATGCAATGTTCATATCTGAGGTGGGTCTCTTCGTACTACTGCTATTTGGATCGGGATGATATATCTCAACAATGTCTCGAATTCTATCCTGGTCCACCAGTCTGAAGTGAACCTTTTTTACGAAAGGCCAGGGTAAAATGGCGTCATATTCACCCCTCATGACAACGAAAAAAAGTGATATATGAGTCCCTTTTCCTATGCCATCTCCATTTGGGTCGAGTCGGACAGAAACTTTGTAGCCAAAGCGACCGACGTAGAAAGGAGGACTGTAGATCGATGCTGTCCTTTCAGATAAAGCGTCTTGATATTTTCGACTGTAGTGGTCTATTTTCCAAATGTAAAACCCATCATAGGATGTGGTCTCAAGCCTTTCAATTTGGAGGCTGTTCTCAGATAGTTGAGTTTCGTGTGAGGAAAGTTGGTTCTCAGCCCTTTCTAATCGATGGTCTGTGGCGAGGTCGTGGACTCTTCGTGGCTCATAAGGATTTGGTATCTTGCTGCTCAGACGACTTAGCTCACTTTTTAATTGAGTCGCCTTTGTTTCATTTTCCCTTAAAGTTTCTAAAATCTCGTCCATCTGAAGAGAGACAACAAATCCTTGAGTGTTTTCAACCAATTTCGAATCTCGAAGAAGCTTGTCCAGATCCTCTCTCTGTTCGCAAATCTCCCTTTCAGCTTTGGATATTTTAGTCTGCTGCATTTTTATGCTAGTATTTGACGCTGCAAGCTGCTCATTTTGACGGCAAATTTGTTTTCCACAACCACTCAGCTTGCTCTGCAGGCGAGCTAGTCCTTCCTCCATTTCTTGGCCTCTCACTTTAAGCTCATAACTTGATTGGTTTAACAAGTCTAAGTGGCTCTTTATACTAGCTTCCACGTGTCTCTGAAGTTCGTCTCTCTTTCCCTAAAGGAAGATTGACAAAATTAAAATGAAAAGAATTTAAATGAATTGTCACCCTTATAAGAAAATTAGTGTTCTGTCACGATTATAGTTAAATTCGGTAACTGTGGGTTATACATTATGTTACTAAGCGGTCAAATTCAATACATCAATGTACACAGGGTCACCCTTTAGAGATATTGACAGAAGACCATGCGACTTACCTTGAATTTACATCCGTAAAGCGTGAAATGACATGGGACCACACTATTGGGGCATTCGACAGTCATATGGTCTTTTATAAGATCACGAGGAATGGCTTCCTTTCCACAGCTTAAAATGCAATTGATCGGAAACTTTGTACATGTTTTGAAATGATCCTAATGAGAGATTTAGAGAATGCAGACGACATTTTATCCTCGTGAAATTACCCGTCACACATTATCATGATATTTCAATTTGAAGAATTCACTGCCGTCAAATAATGAAATATCCAGCGATAAATAAAGGAGAAATTTTAAGTTTAGGGCACAATCTCCGAGAAAACGATCGTGAGTTTGCTATTCTCAAATCAGGCGTCTAAGGCCCGCATATGCAATTGTTATGGAATATGGGAGTGGATGAATTATTATTATTAGAAATGACTAAAAACTACATTTCAACTTGGTTATGCCATATATAAAAGAATACAAGCGACGTTTGCTCATTCGAAATAGAAACAGACAAGAACTTTAGCTCTCCCGATGGAATGTTCTAGTTTTACCTTCAAAGCACTGTCTCGTACTTCCGCTCCACAATAAATACATTGGCTTCTTCGGTTGATACATTTATTAACCTTATGATGCTCAAGAAGTCTTCTCTCCATTAAGCTTTTGCATTCTCTGCACACCACATCGGTGTACTCACAGCTTTCTCCATGTGCCTAGTGGGATCAAGGGAGCATCAAAAAGTATTCATAAACACTTAGTCAAGGACGGACGGGTTTGTAGCTTTGCCTGCTTTCCAACTGAACACACTTGTCTATTTGCCCAAGATCTGGATTTGCAAATGATATGGGAAAGTGAAAGGAAAGCGTTTAATGGCCGTCGAAAGCCCTTTACCTGTACATGTCGTAGCTCCCCTCGCCAGTTACATCCTCTGGCTTCATACTGGCAGAAACATGGAAGATCTAATACTTCCCGCTCGCAGCATTTATCATGAAACGATGAATCTCTTGCAATCGTGCTGCCGTCTATCGGACATGTTGGAGAAGCAGCTCTAGTAATAAGGATAGATAGGTCGGAATTAAACTGTAAGTTTCGATTATTAGGGAACGAAACGCTTCGTGACAGACAGAGGTAGTTTGAGAGTATATGAGAATTTTGATGAAACTCACTACTATGTGGCTGTGCTGTCATTTGAAACGTTAATCGAGCTCTTTCCAAAATTGTCGCTCTCTTTCGATATCATAATCGTGTAACGTGTTTCTGAGTTTAAGCTAGCGCTTAGCGGAACAATATATATGTAACTGAAAAGTGATACAAAATTTTAAGTCAGTAAAACAATAAACAGGAAAGTTTAAGCTTGGGAACTCAACTCCATTGGCAATCTGCTCGTCTAGAAAAAAAGTATTCATACCTGAGAAGAGCCTGGAGGCATTCAAAACAGAATTGATGTCCACACGATGTCTGCCAGGGTTGCTTGAAGACACTTTGGCACAGTGGACACAAAAGTTTTTTATCGAGTCGCTTTAGAAACTTTATTTTAGCCTTCGACATTGATCGAATATTGAATACTCGACGTAGGATAAACCAGCGCACCAGAACCGACTACTTTAGCGATCCAAACGATCTCCCCGAGTAAAGCTTTTCTCTGTCGTTTCTTTACTCTCTGCTTCCGGGTGCTTCGATGCACTTTCGTTTTCGAATTGGATATTGAATCACGAGAGATTAAAAAAACATAACAAGCTTACCGAAAACGAAAATTACGCAAAATGCCAAATATAGATCAGATACTGTATTTTGAAGAAAACAGTTAAACATTCAATAAAAAACTGCTAAACTGATCATAGTAATTTATTAGTGGTCCCCTATGGGCTGATATTTCATTCGTATCGAAGCAAGCATCATCCTAAATCGTAATAAATCTTTTACTTACCAACAAATCACCTATTCGTACATGTAACGTCCAAAAAATGTCACGCATGTACAACACCTTGGTCACACCTTGTGAATAATTTTTCGTTTACCTCACAATATTGGTAAAAGGTCGAAAATAGACATTTTATTTCCTATTTGTAAATAAGCAAGCTTATTTACCCTGTTTATAAAAAAAAAATTGATAAAGTCTGCTACTGTCAAAGGAAACGCGTTGAAGATAGTATTTCATGCAATACTATCGAGATTCAATATCAATATTCAAACGTTCACATCTGACGCAAAACGAAGAAAGTAAAAAGGCAAAATTGTCGCCCGAGCATTCGAAATAACGGTGAAAAATTAAAACAAAAATAGAAATTTCTCAGGTTCGCACACCGAGGCAAAGTCAAAATTAGAGCGCGTGATTTCCACACGTAATAAAGTCACGATCCTATTGCAGCTGTCAGTTGCTATCATTAAACCTTAGACTTACTATAAATATTGTGAAAAATCCAACTGGTTGAAAGCATCAATCACTATACAATAGCGTGAAAGGTTGACATGATAAAGGAAATATCTGCAGGAGATTTTGCACTTTCGTCGAGATTAAAGTCTGCCTACTGTTTAGAGTTCTCGAATTTTGAAGAGTTAGAGAGGTGTCTTCCGTTGCAGATTGTTGTATCAATGTATGATAAAACAACGATTCACTATTCACTTATTATTGAAAGTCTGTTAAAGTTACGGAAACTAGTGATGTAACATACAAACTATTAGAATTATTCACTATACGCTTATGCTTTGACAAGCCTAAAAAAATTTGTATGGTGTATATGTGGTAACAGATTGTGGTAACAGTGCCGTGGTGGCTTCGCCTCATTTATTCCCTTGTATTCTCCGATTTGTTTATCTGAGCTTTAAAGAAAGTGTCTCTGCATGCAGCTTAAAATTTACATCATCCCCCCGGTGTGATCTAAAATGTTTGTTTGAAATTAAAATTAAAGATTTCCTCTTTCACTAAACATCTCTTAACTTTTAAACTAAAAATTTGATCTATGCATTGCATATCAGGGTCCAGATATTTGTTGATATATTTTTACCTCAGTGATGTGACATGAAATTGAAAGGATTTAAAATTAGGTCTGAATAATTTAGATGAAGACAATCAACAGCATGAGAGATGACTGATTTGTTAGGACAGGGTTTACGTTAAAAATGGGTATATTGTTTTTATATACAATGGAAAACATAGAACTTTCGAAGCGCTATCTTTATCTCTCAAGCTGTGCTAAACTGGTTCGCAGGAGTATCGAAAGAGATCCTTGCCTGCAAGCCGGAAGAAATTCGATCGGCCATGGCTAGTATTTTCATCCGCGGTGTATGGTTTATTTTTGGTATTCCTTTAATACACTATGCAAGTAGCTCTCAAGGTGATTTTAACTTTTTACTTAGAGTTGAACATGTGTAAACATCAATGTGGAGATAAGCATAGATAACGTTAAAGATTTTTGATACAAATTGAATTTCTTTTTAGGTTATTAGGAAAAGAAAGTAAAATGAAGTATCTCTAAATTACTATATGGAGCCGTTTATGATAAGGTACTCCATCGGCAAAGCTATTTTGCGGATAATCTAGGAATCATTGTCAAAAATTCTTCGTGTGTGTAAACTCTTATTTTTATTATTAAACGTTTTTAGCCGTTTTGCAAACGTAATTTTACATGTTTATAAGCTGCAGGTTTTCGATACATTACACTCAGCCTGTGCAACTTCAATTTGAATGAGTGTTCGTTGTAAACTAAGTAGCTATGAGATATTTCATCAAGTGCGTGGGCGAGCAAAAATTGGCGTATCTTACAAGGCTTCAAACCATTTGATTCGTGGTGGATACTTTACCTCAGAGTTCATTATTTCATACGTGAGGGGGTTCAAAATTTATCATTCTTCCCCTTCTGATTTAATCAAGAAAATCATTTTGTAACTATGTAACTTGCGGCGACCGTGGGCGAGATGAAACAAATCCTGTGTTCCAGTTGGCTTATCAGACAGGCATGATCGGCCCATCTTTCTCGATCGAGGTTTCCCACTTTGATCCCGCGCAAGAAAAAAGGTTTCGTCGACTGCAGTGACAAAGTTCGTAATTTAGGAAACGCCAGCAATGTGGAGTAGAATCCCCGCGTCTGTGATCCACGAGAGATCAGGGATCGAACATTGCCTCATCGGAAAAGAAAGCGAAGAAACCTTTCCCTTCAGCGAACAATGTCTTCGCTTTAAGAAGACCGACTTTTACTTTTAAATATAACACAAAACTTATGTAAACAAAAAGCTCAAATTATGGTTCGCTTCAATATAGGCGTGAATTTGCATAATCTTTCATGGACGAAATCTTTATGACTTTCAAAGATCAAAACTATTTTCTAAACTACATCTGCTTTATCTTTATCTACTTAGCAAACAAAGCTTTCCAAATTACAGTCAAAACACCAGACGTAGTTCACTTCGAATTTCTCGATCTATCCTAGTTTCTCAGACCGCATCCAAAATGGTTTTACTACACACTTTCCATCTAAGACTCCCAGTGGAACTTGACGTAAAATACGTCACGCGTTACTAGGTAACAGTGCTCATACATATGCACGAACCCCACTCAAGTGGGGTTTGAAGAATTACACACTTTGTCCGTGTTGAAGTCGTCATGGAAAATGCGAAAAGAAAAACAAAATCGAGCTAAGTTGACCTCACGCTTATCTATTAGTTAAATATCTATCTTATATAGCTTATCTATCTTATCTATTAGTTCTGTGTCTCTGGTTGTTCATTGCTTATTGTTTACATAGAGCAATGTCGATCTCTGGAATTTAACTCGGTCGGAACACTAAATGGAAAACGTCTGATGAATCATCTCATGCTCGCCACTGAAGTTACAGACAAACAGTTCTGTGGAGCCCTATGCTTTCTGGAAGATAACTGCATGTCTTACAATTTAATAACGGGAAGTGAGGCTGAAAACCACAAGTGTGAATTGAACAACGCTACTCACGAAGGACATGAAAGTGACTTGGTGGACTATCCCGGTTGTATTTATCGTGCCGCTAAGGTAAAAAACAATATCTGATGTTCCAGAGAACTTACTTTCTCCTATTCCTTTAGCAGCCAACACCTTTATTAGCTTCAAAAAGGCAAAGGTCAAGGACTACCCTCGACTCTTTTGTTGCTATATATTTGTTCTCTTTTTAAAATTAATCATCTATTAATTGAGGGTTGATCGTTTGTTAATTTTGATCTATCATCCTTCTGGTTGACTTGATTAATAATGGTGATAGGACCGAGTGGAGTCCAATTCGGTGTGTAATCATACGAATGATTAACAAAATATGACGACCGCGAGGCGGGAGGCCGATTTGTTAATCTCGAGTATGATTACAGACAGAATTGGATGACAAGAAGTTCTGTTAGCAATTGATTATAACCATTTCAATTTCCGAAAAAACAAATACGCCTGGAGCTAATATCTCCAGTGGAGACAATATCTTTATTTAAAAATTCCTCTATTTTGGAAATTCCCTAGGTTTTGCTCTGGATAAGTGGTTGTTTCTATGGTTATTTTGATCATTTCTGTGATTGGCGGATTAGCTGAGAGGACTTAGTATGATTGCCTGCTTCAGCTCTCCGATTATAGGTATCTGATTACAGCCAACTGTCCGATTACAACTGTACAGGATGATAAGTGAAAAATGAAGCTGCGAATGCACCAGTAGTATTTGAGGAATTTGTAACGGTTATGATTAGCCACCTAACAGATTACATGTGATCGACGGATGTAGTGATGGATAACTGCATCCGAGGGTACACAATTTTTACTCTCGTCTGATTCTTTTACATGCTCCCTTAGGACGCATGTGACAATGATCCTTGCAACGGAAGAGGGAAATGTCAAATAGGGTTCACACAGAAAGGCTATCGCTGTGTGTGTTCCTCGGGATTTACAGGTCTGGATTGTCTTAATGGTAAGTTCAGAAGAAGCCATGTACTCTCAGATAAATAGAGGTTACTTCAAAGTACATATATTTGATTTATAGATGATTTTTTCCACCTGTCAAATCTTCTTGAAGAAGGATATTCGTACCTTTTTCTATCTAAATATAAACGAATGGTTCAGAGGAAAGCTAGCTTTTAGGTAAACAAGTAAAGGGGGCATACTTCTGAAGAAAATACGGTGCTGCATTAGTGGAGAAAGGGGGGGGGGGGGTAAAAAGGATAATTTGGTTTGATTAATAGAGCTGATGATGTAAATTTGCCACAATTCACTTTGACATAGGGCTGACACTCGAAACGTGGGCTTTAGAAACTCTTTATGGTGGGCAATTTGCATTATCAACTCAGTCGATAAAATCAAATTATCTATCTTTTAGGTAGATAATTATCGTCTAACATGGTTTATATTGATGCAATTCTAACTTTGAATGTTGCTGAAAAGGAACTATGTGGCAAGTTGACTCTACTTAGTAGATACATTTAAAACATTTGTGTGTAAATATTTTGAGGAGTGATTCACCAAAATCGAGCGTAATAAAGTTGATGAACGCAAGCATTTGGTTTTCTAGATATTGACGAATGCTCTGAGGGAACTCACAGTTGTGACATAAATGCTGATTGTTCCAACACCGACGGTTCTTACGAATGCATTTGTAATCGAGGATTCCACGGAGATGGAAGGATTTGTAAAGGTTAAGCTGCTTGACATTCGCTAGGTGTATTTGTTATGTAAAGTATACTTCAGATCTATTTGTTCGGAAGAGTGGATAGAGTACTGTCTGGCGAATATTTGGCCGCAAACTGAAAAAAATTCATTGTACTCCACCGTTCTGAGAGCTGAGGCCTTTTAGATACAAAGTCCTTCCTCCGTTGAGCGTCTGCGAATATGGTCATGGTGAATAAGTAGGGTGAATGTTATATAAGTATATATATACGTAGTCTCGATTAAATCAATTTGATATTTTTTTAATTGCTACTTGCTAAATATGCCCATTTTAATTTGTATTATTATCACGTTCATTTTTTCAGATATCGACGAGTGTACCACAAATACTCACAACTGTATTGCAGATCATTTGTGTAACAATACAGATGGATCTTTCACTTGCACTTGTTAGTAAACTTTATTTGTTACATAGTAACCTATTTCCGATTTTACTATATTTTATTTTTTAACTCACATGAAAGAAATTCTTCTTAGTATTAATATACCCTCGCCTGTGCTATTTTAACATACCGCTTTATCTAATTAATACAACAATTATTCAGAAGAGAGAAAAGTAACAGTTTCATCAATCACATGTGTCGTTTTTTTCCTTTTGGTATTAATTGATTAGTTTATTTTGTTAATTTGTCTCTTTTTCTGTGGGATTGTTTTACTCAGTTGCCACATATTCAGACATGCTCGAGGACCATTGATTTCAAGGCAAATTGATACAGATATACGACTGTCAACATTTCCATGACACCCACTCCTTTCCTTCTGTCTGTTTTCATTAAAACAATCGTTTAACAGATACTACTACCATAGGTATCCATCCTTCCCTATATATATGTATTATCCTAATCTGAATTAAAGTTAACTAACACTTCATAAGATGCATATACATTCTCTTTATTCTTCTTATTCATTTTAGCATTCACTTGCAAGGAGATCTACGACAGAAACCCGTGAGTGACAGACTTAAAAAAGAGTCAAAACACCTTAAACTTTAAGCCATGTCCAGCCGTGGGGAAAAGTCTGCGACCAATGAAGTTTCTCCCCAGCTGGGCAATGCTGCAATAAACAGGGCATTGATGCAATTTTCAAACTTTACAGCTGTATATTTTTTGGTGAATTATAATTGACCTACCTCTATTGTGTTTATCCCCCTCGAGGTAGTTGTGAGAAAAATAAAATCCTAATGTCATTTTTTATTCTAAAACATTAGACAAAGTGAAAACAAAGCGTATGAAATAGTAGTTGGACCTGAGAAGATTCCCGTGTACTGTATCATGAGCGCTACCGGCATGGGACCATGTGGAGGAGGAGGCTGGACACTTGTTATGAAGATGAACGGAACAAAGGTAACATATCCGAATAAAGAAATGATCTTCGCTGATGAGCTGCAACGTACGATGATCTGCAAGATCCGAACCCATGTCTCCGAGATATCATTATCACTTGGTAAAAGTGGGGCAAATGTACATGAGTGAGTTGTTCATTGCCATGATCGGACTTTTTCCAGATATGTGGTGAGATATCTGCATTATCTGATCTGTTTCCAAATGAAAGTACCAATGGTATCTATCCTCCTGAAAGAGAATCATACGAAATGAGAGGAGTGTATCTAAATTTGTAGATTATAATAAGAGCAGTAGAGAGAAAGGTTGTCGTTTCATTGTATAATCGTACAGTATTGTTGCAGACAATTGTGCGGTAAACCATCTGGACACAGGAAATATAATTTTTAGGGTCATTGCTTTTCAGAACACTGTCCCTTTTCTAAAGAGTACTGATAAAGACGGTCATTGAAGATGAGGAGACTTTATATAAAAAGTGGATTCTGCTATGCACTGTATACCATTGATTGTTGACCCTATCTTGTGCTTACTTTCTACAGCAAACCTTCCATTATGATGCTAGTCTTTGGACCAACAAGGAGACCTTCAACTTGGAAGGAGGTGAGACGGGTCTTGATGGGCAAGAGACCAAGTTACCGACCTACTGGAACACGTCCTTTTCCAAAATCTGTGTTGGCATGAAGGTCCCGGGAGAGGTAGCCACAAGACTTATCGTTATTAACAAAACAGCTGAGTCTGTGTATTCATTAATTGCTGATGGCCAATATCGCCCCACACCATTGGGAAAAGACGCATGGAAAAGCTTGGTCAGCCCTCCAGGTCGATTACAACCGAACTGTAACAAGGAAGGATTTAACACATCTGGGAACAACACACAGAATGCAGGCAGAGCTCGAGCAAGGATCGGTATTCTTGGTAATGGGGAAAACGATTGTGATTCATGTGATTCCAGAATCGGATTTGGCAGTGGGGGAGCTTCGGATGATTCTATCACGTGTGGCAACGCATACTGGAATAACGTGAAAGTTAAAACAATGGGATACATCTTCGTTCAGTAACGTTTGCCGGCCAACTTCAAATAAATGAATACAGATGGTAAGCAAATAAATGATTGGGGAAAATAGTGATGGAGTAGACAATAAGGCCGTCAATGAAGGAAAAAAACTTGACTGAAAGAAAAGATGTCGTTGACTAAGCTCAATTTCTTTTCAAGTACTCACAGGCATGTTATGGATGTAGGCGTTTCCTATGTGACTCACCTCTTCAAAACAGTATACTTTTTCTTATGTTTTTTTCTCTTCTCTTCTCTTGAATTCTATGTCAAAACGACTAAGTTGATCACACTTGATTTCTGCACAGGAATATCCAAGAAAATTATGTCCTTTTTTTTTTAGTTTAGAGACCTCTTAGCTCTCATTTAGGGGAGTACTCTCATGCCCAATTTACGATCAGGAAAAACTCCTCCATTTCCTAATTTTCTCACGATTAATTCCCTATTCTTTCAACTGATTGTACTTTGCGTGCTCTGCACCTCGTTTATAATTCGGAAATTCATTTGGAGGGCGCTTAGCTCGGAAATTTATTGAGTGCGCCTGTTATTCTTTAGTTAGTTCTTCGTTAGTTTTCTCTAGTTTTGAGTTTAATGCTGCAAACCGTGGGTAAATAATTAGGCATGAACAGTTTAATTTTTTTCCGTCGAGGTTTCTGTTTTTTTGGCTTTAGTGTTGAGGTTTTGCTTTTGGTCTGCATTTTTTTGGTTTATTTATTTATTTATTTTTTGGCTTGATTTGCTTTTGATTTTGCAGGCAACCCGTCCATAAATGTTGCGTTTGGCTTTCCCTGCCAGCTGCATCGAGTTTGATATGCAGTTGCATCGAAGAAGGCTAACATTTGATTATAGTCCTTCTTAGTTTTAGTCTGAAGTAAGGATCGTTATCTTCGCACAGAATTGTAGTGACCCGTTTTAGTTAATACATTTGACTTGTATCAATTTTCTGAAGTCATTTGAGTAGAATTCCCGTTGGTACATTAGCGAGGTAAAGTGCTCTTTGCTTTTCCTCGTTAGAGGAAATATTTACGGTGAAGTTGTTTTCCTTCTGAACACTCATCACTATTTGAATAAAATAAAACTTCGTCGTATGTCACTTTGTTTTAGGATTTACATCTTATAATCAGGCGGACCATGTCTCTTTCCATCACCTTCATTGTGGATCCGTGTATCATATCAAAGTAGCACTTGATAGCCCCCCAGAAACAGGTACGTTTGGTGGAACGGGTATTGCAACGTAATTCAAGTTGAGGACTAAAATGATCTTAATCTTGGATTCACAGAGAAAAGCTTGAAAATGTTACCTTAAGTTACTTGAATAAAGTCTGTTAACAAAAAGAAAAAAAAGGTCAAGTTTATTCAACGAAGAGACTTGAATGGAAAAATGAGAAGAAATGATAGCCACTATTCAACCTATCTCTTCCATTCCAACTAGTGTACAGTATTATATATATGATAGTGACTACAATATAAGTGAAATACATACAACAGTGTTGCCGCAACGTTGTCGAGCGGTTTGTTAGTCTCCAATCTTTGCGCTGTTTACCATATTTTTAAAAATAGTTTTCGTGCCAATTAATTAAAATTCAGAATTTTTCTTTGTGTTTCTGTATGTCGTTTCGTATAAGTATCCAAACCGTCAGGTATGTTCTTGCTATTCTTTCTTCTTTTGATTTTCATTCACCGCTGGTTATGTAACTAAAAATTTGAGAGTTTATTGGTATATTCGCTACAAGTGTAGATTCAGAGGCCTGTAGCTCCAGACATCGTGGACAAATGATCAAACGATTTTTATATTTAAACGGCATGCTATTCATATCAAAAAAAAATTTACCCACAATTCCTCTGGCTCGGCGCCAATCATCTTGTCCGTTCCAGCAAAACAACTACTCCTGCGTATTTCGCTTTGCTATATTGCCAGACCTGATATTATGCGCCAAGCCCTAATAAAAACCACTCCCTGTTTACGCAAGCATTCGCACGAATCGTTAATGCTAATGTCATCAGCCTATAAAGTCATTAGTAAATCATATGACCATGGACTTATCAAATGTTTTATAATACATCTCGTGCAGTACCATTCTATCGACGGTATGTCGATAGAACCTCCTACTTATTAGTATGCGGTCTTCTCTCAGATACAAAATAACTGCACGTATTTTTTTCGTATTCTAATTTCCAAAGTTCTCAAAAGAATCATTGTTATGGCATGTATGGCGACAAAATTTCCAAGAATGTCTTTGAGGTCTCTAAATAAACTCGTAGTCATGTTTAAATGGGTCTAAAATCACTCTCTTTCGGCTCTTGATTCGAAATCCGTAATTCACTGCTGACCGTTTTTTAACCATTACGTAAACATCGCATCTGTGTACCCGGGTAAAACATTCCTTTATACTTGAGAGAGTATTAAACTGAAACCTATTTAAATCTCAGCTTAATTTACCTCTTAAACTACTCGGTACAGTACGTTTCTTGACAAGGTCGTTTCAGTTAGGAGATGAATGATATGCATGCAAAAATATGACACTGTTTCCTTTACAGTTGTCTTTCGTATCTTGGCTTACCAGTTCGGCCGCTTGCCTTTGCCTTGTTGCAGCAGTAGTCAGGCTTTCTTAAGAATTTTCCTCCAAACCTTTAAAACCTCTCTCGAGAATATTTGAGCGTTTGTTGTTTCTCTGTCTGGCATCGGTCAACAGCATTAATCATTACACGAAAGCTATCATGGTCGTAATCTCACCTGTGTTTCCTACGAACTGTTGCGTAAAATCCTGCGAGAATTTTATTAAGGGCCTCCGGTTTATACTTTCAAATCCGTTTACGTAAGCCAGACTTTTAGCCAGTTGTTACACCTTTGTGGGGTATTTTTTTTGCATCCTCCCTCAAACTCTTAATTAAAACGTTGTTACTTATTCCTCACCTGTCCGCCACTTTTTTTTTTATTGAACTTCCGCGACTTAACTGTCAATAGAGTTAGCTTCAACTTTTTGCCCTTCATTTTCAACTTTATTTACTGTTTTGGATTAATTGACCTGTTCTTGGCCAACGTGCATACTATCATTTTTGCATGTGTATTATTAGGTCTGAAACCCTATGCGTCATTTCAAAATCGAAGGAGCGCGCAGCGCGAGTTTGATTTGATATCGCAAGCATGATCCAAACCAAAACTGCATGACACGAAGTCTAATTACCATTTTATTACAACAATTTTGAAATCGCAAAATTCGGTTGCTCAAATTTTTTTAGGATGATCCACTCTTGTGAAGAGTTGCAAAAGTTGTCTTTCATTTTCTTATAATTTGATTCGTTACTTTAAACAAGCTTCAAAAGCGATTGGTTGTTATGTTTTTTAGTACAATTTTCTCATTTACTGAGAAAATTATTCGATCTAGAGCAAAAAAAAAAAAAAAATGGTGGGATTTATAAATAAATCGCACTGGTAAGAGCCAATTAGGTTGCAAAGATCACCAGTGATTTTAAAATGGACGTAATAATTGTTTCACTGAATGAAAATGTATCCCATAGTTTTGATACTTTTTTCTCCATTGTCTGGTTCATAATACGCCACGTTACCACACGTACCATTGACACTAAGGAAACCACCAATACCAAACCCGACTCCGGAATCGCTCGTCCAACAGTCGATTTCGTTGTTGCTAATAATACCGATTCGTGCTTTGGAGCAGTTGCTTTCCTTCATCACATTGAATCCTTCCTTGTTGCAGTTAAGTTGCAAAGACCCTTCGGAACCAAGCAGTGATTTCCATGTTTCACGGCCTAATGAGGTGGGTCGGTACTGCTGATCAGCAATCAGTGAGTGGAGCGAGTCAGCGGACTGGTTTACAGCGATGAAATGCAAAGTATCTTCACCAGGGATCCTCATACCAAGACAGATCTTTAGGAAAGGTGTGTTCCAGTATGTTGGTAACTTAGTCTCTTCAGTGTCAAATCCTGTCTCTCCACCGGTTAAATTGTATGCTTCTTTGTTTGTCCAAAGAGCAGAGTCAAAGTGAAACGTTTTCTGTTAAAAAAAAAAAAAATGTTAAAATATTGATAAAGACAGAAATATGTCAAATGGATTTGAGCAACTGAATGTGATTTATGTAATATATTTGTAACTGCTTGTTTCAAAGAAACATGCATGGGGTTCTAAGATTCTGATTCATAGTTCTTTCTTATGAAATTTTTTAAAGTGATGGCACGTTTTATATAAGAGAAAAAAAGGACGAGTAGAATTTTTTAAAGTGATGGCACGTTTTATATAAGAGAAAAAAAGGACGGTAGAGGTTGTAGAACGTGGTAACGAGTGTGAAACTGCGGTGAACATCGGGGCTGTTATCGATTGAGAGCGAGTTCCGTGTTCGCCGAACTCGAGCAAGTGAGATTTGAAGTGATAGAAGACTTTCCCGTGATCTTGTGAATGACGTTGATGATTATAATTATTAGCACCTTTTTTCCGTCAATTTTCATGACTAGTGTCCAGCCCCCTCCGCCACATGATCCTAAGCTGGTATCGTTTAGGACGCAGAATGCGCGGATCTCTTCAGATCCAACGCGCAGCATAAAGGCTTTGTTTTCTCTGGAACTTAAATAATCAAAAAGATTGTGTCAGCTTGGAATCACGCCATTCATATGACGAAACCTGAAATTTGAGTTTTTGTCTATTTTGAGCTCTTTTGCATTTACTTCTTATAACTGAATAACACAAGACAGAAATTGGAAGTGTAGGAATGAAAATGGAGGAGTATGCGTTGTCTAGGTTTTGAGACTAGGAACAACAATAATAAAAATAGTGTTAAAAATTGTTCATGAAATGATAATGAATGCCTTAGAAGCTACATACTAGTTTGACGCGTAAATTTCCTTTGCTGATGAAAAATTTGAAGCTGAAAGAAAAAAAAAAGACACAATGATTACTTTTGGCTCATTCACAATCGTCGAAATATAGTTAGGCAAGAAATCAAAGAAAAAATGTAATCCATTTGTTGCTTGTCTCGAAACCTCAAAGGCTTATTCCCTTTTATTGAAAAAAAATAATGGTGCTGTTCTACAACTGTCTCTTCCTACTAGTAACCGTCATAGTAATTCTTATGAATTGCAGGGTGGAGGACCTGAACAGACTAAAAGTCCAGCACCCTAACCACTCGGCCATGCACGAAGATGGCATTCGTGTTACATAAAACCACGCCTCAAACCTTGGCAGCTCTTTCCTTCTCCTTGGTATCCATGTTTACAAATGCATTTGAAAGAACCATCGGTATTAATGCAATCAGCATGAACATCACAGTCGTGTTCTCTAGAATAGCATTCGTCCACATCTGAGAAGAGGAATGTAATGAAACCTTAAATAGGCGGACTAATTTCTCCACTTTTATCTCGCATTCGACTAGAACGAACCTATATTTAGTGGACCACTCTATTGAGAAGACACTGCAGCGATTACTTTGGCGAGCACCCAAGAAAAGTTTCCCTGGCCGTCTAGCATTTAAAAATGTATTGTTATGTTTGTTATACAAGTCTGTTATGTATTTGAAACAGGCATGTGACAACTTAATCTGGAAAAGCTCATGTCTTTTACGTAGTAATTTTATGCTCTCGATTTGATAAACATTTCTACTTGCACGCGACGAACCAAACCGAACTTCTTCCTGATTGATCTTTTAGTCGATCGCAAAAAAAACCGAAATTATCAACATATCGTCAAGATCTTTACAGAATAACAACAAATAAAGAGCGAATCATAACTTAGAAAGGAATAGACTTCATATCGGGAAAGGTTTATCTTCTATAAGTTGCAATTATACTTAGCAAAATTTCGCATATGAGATGTTCCAAGTGATCTCTAATTCACACACAATATGCCTGGACTCAGGCTGAGGTTATAACTGAATGCTCACCTTCCCTGCAGTTTACTCCAGTGAATCCCTTAGGGCACAAACAGCGATATCCTCTCTCTGTAAATCCAGTTTGACAGGTGGCATTATTACTACAAGGGCTACTAGAGCATCTGCTCTGTATAAGGGAAGATAAAAAAGAATTTAAAAAATTATGGGTGTTTACTAATTGGTTGCGATGTCTTCAATTATATCTAACAACCAGTGGGATTTAGATCGTCTTTTTCTAGAGTGAATGCATAAAAACTTTTAAAACAATTTAGAAGAGGCTCCACGACCCAATTATGCATCATTGCCATCCGTTAATACTTAAAACCGCTGGCGAAACATATATCTCTGTTCTATGGGCAATTTTCTTAACCTTGAAATAGGATGAATTCGATCCATTAGATTTGTTTCTAGATTTAGAAGTTGTCCTTTACGATATTGATTGACAATGGTTAGTTGACAAAAGATTGAAAGGAACAGAAGAAATCATGTTCTAAGTTTAGCTCATAAGCTCAGAATTTGCTCGTTGTAGAAAGTCATCATAAACGTTAATCTTCAAAAGAGAAGACCTCATACCTCGGCGGCCTGGTATACGTAATCTGTGTCTGTCTTCAGGTCTCTTTCATGCCCTTCGTGTGTAGCACTATTTAATTCGCATCTTTGATTTCCACTATCACTTCTGGTCATAATGTTATAACTGAAACAGTTGTTTTCTATGAAGCACTGTATCTCGCATATTTCTTGGTCCTCTACGTTAGCGATACGTAAGACGTGATTCGAAAGGCGTTTGCCCTTGTACCTTCTGGTCGCTGTAAACTCCAAATTGCGGCATGGCTCTGAGGAAGGATATTGAAGGAGCAAATAAAGTTTTAGGGAAGCAATCACTTGAGATGATATTTTTGTGGGTATGCAAACCACACACGAAGCTAGTATGCAGTTAAGACAGATCAGAGAAAATCACTCGCCACAAAAATCTTATTCAAACCGACCAGCAGTATTTTGACACAAATTTTCCTTCAGCGGTAGTTTGATTTTTTTTTTTCTGCCAGAGTTTACGCGCCAATTCTCCTACCAAACCATGGGTAATAAAAAAAAAAAACAAAAAGCAAAACAAAACAAAACAATTTGATAACTGAAATTCGCAGTACTACCCCAATTCCGAATAACTTTTTCCGATGTGAATAGAATCTGATTTTTTACAAATTCGTGTTTGTCTTTTTTTTCCCTGAAGATTTCATGTGAACAATTTTTTTTATTCCGGGTCAATGTTAAAACTCAGCATTATAGAGAAATGTTCCGCAGTTTTTCAACATTTTGTGCTGGAGACATCTTCCAAACGGATCGTTATTATTGTATTGTATCATGAGTATGATATGAACAATTTTCCCCGCTTTCATTGGTCGTGCGATATAATTTAGGACAGAACTTACTTACTGACTGGATTTGATCAAATTTTTAACTGTTATGGTTGTCTATAAAAAAATTTTTAACTAGCTGCAGTAAAGCTTCTTTCTGTTGATTGATTGAGTTCTGCTGAGTTCTCGTCGTCGATTTTTCGATCTTGCATAGTTAGCACAAAATAATCAATTTCAAACCTGTGAAGCCATTTGTTCCAGGTATCAAAGGTAAACAAAGTAATAGAGAACATATTTCGCGCTGGAAATACATGACTCATATAGAGGGAAGAAAAGACACGATTCCAGCACAAGTCTCAGACAAGCTTTTCCCTTGTGGTTATAATTGATAACAGATGATTTGAAAATTTGTTGTTTTTTTTTTTTTATCTTCCCTTTCAGTCTAGCTGCACAGCATGGATTCGTGATTAACGAAATCTTTTCTGCGCATAGCTTATCGAAGTTTTGGTATTGGGAACTATTGGGTTGATTGAACTTTAAAAATCGGTTATAAGTTAAGGTAGAGTCCTCTTATTTTACGTAAATAGCAGAGACTGATGTATCTTTTTTCCTCCTCATTATTTTTTTTATGCTTTAAAAACGTAATTTATTCTCCATCAATTCGTCATTTTTTTCTGTTTACTTTTATCACCTCTTAGTTTTGGTTTCTATGACTGGAATAACAAAGAATGATATTTCTTTCTCTACAAGAGATTCTTTCGTTTATTAGTGACTCTAAGCACCAAGGCTCTTCTCTAGCATTGTTTAGCAGAATGAGTTGACCCATCAAGGCTGAAAATTAACACTCTAAAATATTGATGAAATTGTGAACTTTTCAAAAATTTAGTCCTTCGAAAGCTTTCTTGATAACTAATAACGTCTTCCTGGAGCCTTTAGCAAATTTTACCTTATATCTTTAATAATGCTGAGAAATAAAATGTATGTTCAAAGTTGGGAAAACACAGAAATTCGGGTAGTGCTGTGTCCAGGTTGTTGTTGTATATGCTTTACTTCCAGTGGGGAAGTAAATGAGAAGAACACCAAAGTGTAAGATATAAATAGTTTCAGTTTAGGTACACAGTTTAGCCCGTGGATCGAAAAACGCCTATCTTTTGAGAACCTGACGAAACCATGTATATTGGGACTGCCTCAGGTTTAATAGTGCAAACTGTTTTAATATTCATATTGATGGAAAACCAACTGACAGGGTTCACGAGTTTACTTACTTAGGCGTGGTATTTGACGACTCAGAGTGCCAATGCTGTTTACATCTGGTTAATTAAACTAATTCTAGATTACAGTGATACACTGTGGGGTTTCTGCGTTTATGAAAGAGTTAGGCATTAGAGGCTTTGAAGAAGAGGGCAGGTGGAACTGTTACTAAAACAATTTGCAGCGGTCTTGCCACGGAGATTCTCGGGTGGCCTGCGATGGGAGGAAGACGCCAGGAGCATATTTTCAGCCTGTAAAGAATTGTATTTTAGGGCGTTTTCTCTCAATACTTTGAGAACTATTTTACTTTTAACAATAATATTCACAGGCGTGTAACCAGACAGCATGATCTGCTACAATAACCTGCTGTCAAAACGGAAATTGGAGAGAGATATTTTTATTACCTGGGATGCATTGCTTTTAAGAATTTCTCTATACGACGATATATTGTGTAAACATTGAGTTAATGCATACAGTTTTAATTTCACGTTCATGCAAACATTGTTATTGTGAAACTTTTCTCTCTGGGCTCCTATCAATGACTCCCATCAATTGCCTTCAAGCATCTGAAAGGACCATCCTGGCCCTAAAATTAAATAAAGAAGTCTATCTTTCTGTGTCTATCTGTTAGATATAATTGAAACCTTCTAAAAATTAGAATAAAATTATACTCTATGCGTTTAAAGGAGTCGAAAACATCACGTCATT